TGGTCTTCACCCTGCAGGGAAAGGACAAAAGCACCTCTGGGAGGCTGGGAACCTCCCAGGATTCTTGCTTCTGTCAGGCTCTCTCCTCTGCTACAGGACAGTATATATTTCAATTAGAGATAGATGATCATTTTTTGGTGTGTACCAAACAGCACAGAAGTTTTCCAGCTCCATGTGCAAGCCCTACTATTTCGCTCAAAGATGAAGCACAGGCTCTGTGCTGAAGCCATGGTGAAAGAGGACACTAATAAAAGGTATTGCTGTATGCAGGTATCAATCAAATGGATTTTACAGTTACAAAACCTCATGATAGGATTTTTTTTATAACATCATGATGCGGTAAGCAGGACTCATCTGTTTCCCTGAACTGCCTTAACGAAGTCTGACAGTGATGTTTCCTTTCACAACAGCCATGGCTCTTGCTCTAATTTTTGGGTCCATTTGCACTCCAGTCCATGAATACACACTCTTACCTGAGCTCCAGTCTGGCTTTCTAGAGCAGACTGCCCAAACCAAGGGAAATTCCCAGTAGGCAGAACTCCAAACTTGCATTTTGACTAATTAAGTGACATTAGGAAAGCTATAAATGGCACACAAAAACTGGCAGGGAAACTGCTTCTAATGATTATACAATTGCTGTGCAGGGAGACCCAGCTGCAGCCTTGATTCGCATGCCCTGTCAATAGAAGCATTAGTCTTTCCAAAACTGTCAGTGCCAAGGTGTTCAAAAGTGGAATCAAATACACGAGGTAAGACAAGGTAAGAGGCTACTAGCTTTCACCCAAAGGAGACTGCTGCCCTACCACACAAAGGAGGACACACAGGGTTACAAGACACATTTCCCAGCAGGAGTCTAATTCTATCTGACCACTAAATGCTGAAGAAAGAATTAGTACAATAATCTTGCAGCCAAAACCTTTGGGGCATGATGATATCCATATTCAGAGCAATAGCAGTGTATTAATGATGTAAATAGATTCCTTCAAATGGAAGTATCCTGGACACTTTTTCTTGATCCCATTTTAGTTAAGGGTTGGGCTTAAACTTGAAGCATGAGGGGATTTTCCCCTTAATTTTTATACTCTCTTTTTGTACATGCTATAGCAACTATGAATATTTGTTATACTCACATGTATATTCAATCTTTCTGAGCATTTCTGGCATCAGAGAAATCCCGTAGCAATGAGTTCAACAGAATCTATTGAACTTAAAGATTTATTTCTTTCTTTGTAAGGGCTTGAATTCACAAACAGAGCAAATTAAGTTGCAACTCCTGACCACAGTGAAACCCTTTGGGGACATACACCAGCCTTCCAGAGTTCAGAAGGAGAAAACAGACCATCAGTCACCACAGAATTTCATAAAACCCCACTGACCCAAAATGCAAAAGACTGAGTAGCACAGGGATGCTTGGTGGAATGGCAATAGGTCTTTGGCATCTGCATTGTGAATGAGTCAAAACCCATGTCTATCTGGCATGTCAGCTACTTCCTGTGCATGCTGCTTCTCTGCAGTGAACGAAAGACAGTTAATCCCTCAGTGGAAGTGGGATCAGCTTCCTTACGTCTACCCCTCAGTATAAGCATGAGCCCAGACACTTACTAAGCTGATGTACTACTGTAACTTAATACACAGTATCTGGTTCATGCGCTCACCTCTTACCTAAATGCAGCATTTTGACTTTCAAAAAGAATCATGAGCAATTATTGACCATCTTCAGATGGGGTTTTGCAAGAACCACCACAGCTCAGGGGACAGCTGGTTTGCACAAAGAGATCTAAAAAATACACAAAAATTGTACATGGGCATTCAGAAGGAGAGGGCTGCTTCCACATTTCAGCACTGAACCATCACGCACCTGGCTCTCTGTCTTCCTGCCTCACCTTCCCCAAGCAGGCTCTCTAAGGAGGCGCTAAGCACAAAAGGAGACTTCAAAAGAAACGAAGAGTTTTCTTTGTCCTCTTAAGGAAACATTTAATGATTGCCTTTACCCCACTTTCAACCTGGACTGCCTGTTCTTTATTCTCTGGGCAGGTGCTGAGAGATGAGGCTTTAGTGAGCAGACTGATTAAAAACAAGTATCGGATGTCTGGAGACAATGTGTAATACGACAACCATCACTCACAGTATCGCATAGGAAATATAATTAAAAAGATTGCTCTGTGACTATGCTATTATAATTTCAAGCCTTGCATTTCACAATTAAAAGCCATTTGTCTTCTAAATGGCAGGCTAAATTCTGAGCGTGAAATCAAAAGCATTCCTCTGTAAATTAACAGCACTATCTTGAATTTATGCTAGTGGAGACTGAATTTGAGTCTATATTCACTTTTTCTAAACTATCCTATAAATACTAATGTTATCTTCTCTCCATTTTGGGGTGCTTTTTTTTTTAAGCACACACAAAGAAAGTTGATTAGAAACAAGGTTCACAGGCAAGAACAATTGTTGCACGTCACAACTTCGGCTATTCCTGCAGGGTCTTAACTTTCCAGATGCTCCTGGAATGGAAATCTGGTGCTTGAGCCGTGACGAACCTGCGCAAAGTCTGCCCACTTTCCCTGAGCTGTAATTATTTGATCCACGTGCAAATGAGCTTTCAAATCACTCTCAGACCATTTGTTCTAACACCTCCACATCCCCCAACCCTACATGTCCTGTGCATAAACTACCTACTGTATATTGAGCTTGTCTGTACTATAATAGGATGAAGACTTGGGGAGGAGGAACTCTGTCTAAAAGAGGTTCGTAACAAGGGAAAAAGTAGCTCTAACAGAGTAGCAACATCATAGGAACAGAGAGAGGCATTGTTGCAGGCCAAGTAATCCTATGACACGCTACTGTCAGTCATAGCTTGACACCCTGCTGGGCCAGCAAGACATCAAAGCCCACCCCATACCATCTTACATGCTCTTTATCGGCTAATCAGGCTATTCTTCCTGAAATAAAGCTCCGTTAAATCCCCTGCTCACAGGGGCATTCCCATCCTGTTGCCCATCTGCTGGTGAGGGTCAGCTGAAGCAGGAGGCAGATCAGTGGCCTGTCCCTGGTGGCTTCTCAAAGCAGGACAATGTGGTCTCCAACTTTTTATTTTAAAATCCTTTCTCCTTCTCTCCCCCCCCCCCCCCCCAAGATACATACATGTGCAAGAGATGTCATCAGCCCAGGAACAATTATGTGGATTAGTGCGTTAATAGCTAACGGTTGCTAATGGAGTTTGCAGCAACAATTACACGTAAGGAGTCACAACTGGTACTGATAAAAGATTTTCCTCCTTTGAATTATTGCAGTGATTCTCCTGGCAAGCCAGAGGTTTGTATCCTGCCACTGTGCTAGGGAAGGCAGTGAATCCTTAATGTTATAATCTCAAAAGGGAGGATTATCCATCCTGTGGAACCAACTCGAAGTAACTAGGATCGGATGTACTGAGCATCTTTAGCTCCATTTCAAGTGGAGAAGAAGATTCAGGACTTTGCTCCTCCAGAAACATCAGGGAGCCTCAAATTCTTAACACAAGAAAGGAGTACTCCAAACAGCCCTGTCCACACACCAAAGAGGACAGAACTGTAAATCTAGGTTTGCTACAGACTCTTCTTGGAGAGATCCCACAGGATTTACAGAAATGCTTTTGGCAGAACTACTTAAATCCCGAGGCAGCAGTGACCAAGTCTGTAGAAGGATCATTACTACCAACAGATCTGCCTTTTGATTTGCGCTTGTACTTACAGAACTAGTCATTCACACATTTAATAACAAAATAAAATACACTGCACTCTTCCTCTTTCTCTCAGGCACTAAGCTAATGTCTTCATAGGGAGAAGAACAAGCAGTACAAGTTGCAGCTGAACATTCTGAGAGGATGAACACATTTGTCCTATTGCAAATCTGACAGCCAGGAAACCTTTGGTGAAAGTGCAGGAGAAAGGCTACAAAAGACTGTCTGTCTAGTGTAAGAAAAGGTGATAAAAAACGTCATAGGAGGCCACAGAAGGCCTTTAAAGACAGCAAAACACACATTTTGCTTCTGATGCAGTGGTATTTGTCAAGGCTGGGAAGGAAAAAACATCTTGTGAGATAAATCAGCACTTATACAGCCTTGCTCATCGTGTGCAGGACAGTCAACTTCAAATTAGAGAAGGGAAAATACTAATTTTTCTGCTATTTCCTTGATGCTTTTATCATTGCATGCCCTACATCAAGAGCAAGTACTTATAAGCACAACTGTATCTGTGAGAGGCTTTCCCTAGAGAGGGATGAGGACAAAGAGTTGCTGTGCAGTTGATCCCGAGCCAGGGATCGTAGCTCTCCATAGGACCATGCGACTGGAAGTGGGCATATGAATGGAAAAAAATCTGGCAGTTTCTACTATGGAGGTGCTTGGCCTTGACAACAGAACTGCTGCTGGAGCTCTAGCTACCATGACCTGTGCAAGAAACAGAATCAATATATGGGAAGTCTCATTCTTTGCTCTGGAATATTGCCTGTACCCTTCCTCATCCTTCAAGGTAGCTCTTCAGTGAAGTATAAATAAATAAAAACTAGGCTGTTCCTGCTCATAAGACTCACAGGAGATGTTATTTTTCAAGTGATCAGACAATAGAAAAGCTACAGCAAAATCCAGGCTAGTCAGTGTAAGTACACCTCCACACTTAGCAGCTTCCTTCAGAAAAAAGCATCTGAATTCCCACTCAAATATTCAACCAAGTTGGTTTAACAAATGTAATTTTTAGGCTCTCTAAAGCTATTAGAAAAAGGGGAATGAAACAACAGCTCAGAGAGCAATGCAACCTAAACCAATGGGTCAACATTATTTAGCCTCTCTGGAATAGTCAGATGTGACCTGCTCATGACAGCGGCATTGGATTAAATGGTCTTGAAAGGTCCCTTCCAACTCAAACCACTCTGGGATTCCTGCAGCAAGCACAATCACCTTGAGGAGCAAAGCACACCACAGTCTGTCATGTGGTGTTCCTCAGCTCAGAAACATCAATTTGGCCTACCTTTTTGGTCTTGGTTTGGCTTTCTTCTTTGAGCCTGCAGCTGGAAAAGCAGTCAGGTTCTGGGGGGCATCTCTCAGGCCAAAGCTCTTGGCCAAATGACCCAGGTGGAGAGATTTGATGTGGAAGATGTGCTTGAGGTTCCTGGGATAGGTGGTATAGGCACAAAGGAAAGACTGCAGTGCTGAGGGGAGGAAAAAGAAAAAAAGAGAGTGAATTCTGTTTGCTACTGCATTTTTATATATATATACTTAAAGATTCAGCTGTTCCAGCTGAAATGACATTGGTCTTGTCCTTTGGGACACCTTTTGGTCAGCAGCTGGTAGAAAAGGTTGTGTGAACCTGTGAAGGTTGTATAGTACTAATACAATCCTGAAAGGAGAAGATAGGTGGAGAAGTGTTAGGAACTGAAACAAAACTACATTAAGTTGCATTAGGTTTTCCTCTTGCAAGGATGCCCCTTCTGCCAGAAAGAGTGATGTCTGTAGTACATCTCACAGGAACAGTCATTGACATCAGTGGTAGTAGATAAGGGGAGAGAAGGAATGGAGAGGCAGGGGTGAAGAGAGGGAAAAAGAAGCATGGAGATGGCATAGGAAGAGTCCTCTGATATTACAGTCCCAGTAGTCCATGCATTTTTCACCAGTTACTAGCTAGTCCCTTATAATATCTGAGAGCCAGCTGGATTTCCTGACTCATCATCACACTGAGAACAGAGCTCACCTTCTCAAAAGGAAAAAAAAAAAGTAATAGAATTGCATGCAAATTTTGCTTCACATCCTTATATTCCTGTAATGCCCTTCCCTCAGGGCTCATTGCTCTAAAGTCTATCATCTGCTAATATGAACACTACCACCGCCCTTCACATACCCAGAACATTAACTACACCCAGGCTGTCCTCTCTGCTATAGGGAATAGAGGGACTTTTAGTAGGGAAACGCTACAGCTCAGAAAATACCTCCTTTCAATCCTCTGCTGCCCTTCTGCTTGCTAAACCTCCTGTGTCCCTCCCACCCCAGCCCTCACTCCATCCACCACCTACATCATTCTCTCCCTCTCAACCCCTGACAGCAGCGAGCTCTAAACTCTAACCTCTCCTGCCCTTGCCTGTTGAGCCACTGGACCAGCAAGTTTGCCCACAGCTTATGTCTAATCTCTTGGCAGCAGCCAGAGATTGGAGTTTATGAACAGTAATAAAAATGTCATTTTAGCAGATCAGCTCCTGGAAGGACCCAGGGAATCCATCAAAGCTCTGTTTACTGAGTAAAGCGAACTCCTTTTCCCAATCGATGAGAAGAAAAGATTGAGTTTTTTGCACCTTCTTCCCAATTTCACAATGTTACTCTTAGAGGCATCTGAGCAGCAAGAGACCCATGTTTTCCCAAAAAGAGAATGCTAAATTCCAGATACTTCGTCTCTGTGCCTAATCTAAAGGTCATGCTTCTGAGGGCTTATAAACCAGCTCAAATGCTCTCAAAAACTATTCTGCTCCTTTTTTTTTTTCCCATAAAGTTATTGGTCCAATTCACCTGCTATGAGAAGGTGTAACTCTTCAAAAGAAACAATACGAACTTGCTCCTGCTCTGACTCTGGTCCCGTTGGAGCCAATATAGCTGTCTTTCTCACAGCATTCGAAATGGTTGATACTAAAGATCCTGTTATTATGAAGGCTGAGCTCACCTCCACAGTTCTTTGGGCAGGAAAGGCTGCTGGTACTAACTCCCCTGATCAGAGTTAGAGAATCAAAGTGTCAAAGGCCCCACTCTTCCCAAAATCCTGACAGACAACAGTCAGATCCAGTCCTGAGTCAGATCACGTAAAGCCAGACCAAGCTGCAGGACACTAACCCAAAGCTGAGCTAACAACCCTCCCATACCTGCAGGTCAAAACCTCAGCTCCTGCAACTGTCTGACCTCTGAGGAGCTCAGAGCTCCTAATGTTCACCACAGCACCATGAGATTCAAATGAAGATCTGTGTGGGTGTGATTCTTTCTTAAATCTTTCCTATTAGGTCTTCAGACCTCTCAGTGTTGCTAGAGTCATATTTTACAGCTTTTATGTGCAATTTTAGCTTTTTTTTTTTTAAGTTGAAATTCTGTCATAATTTTATAATCAATGAAACAACTTTACAATTATGAAAACAACTTTATAATTATGAAAACAACTCAGAAAGACTGGAAACAGTGCTGGTCACACCATAACTCACATAAAGGGTACCTCATCTCAATGCCACAGGAGCAAACTGCCTGAGCTGTTACTGGTTTTGCCATGCCAATATGAGTCTAAGGCAATGTATACTGGCTTGTGGTGGGATTCAGACTTGTGCTCATGTAAGTGAGTGGATTTAGGTTGGTCCTTTCTACCCATGCATCCCCACTTTCCCATGGGAAATCTAAGTGTGGAAAGTCACAAAAAAACCACACTACATCTGCTGGAGGTTAGATAGGTTGGAGTGATGTTGTTTTAAACAGGGGACAAGAGGGGAATGAGATATGAAAGTGAGACAGGTGATATAATCTGTTCACCATGCTCTCAGCTGGCAGCCAGTTCCCAGTGCTGGCCCGGGAGTGCAGCCTCAGCCACACAGCTGGATAAACTGGTGGAGGCATTTTGCCAGTGCACAAGGCATGTGGGAACAGGGAGGAAGCATGCACCAAAACTGCTACGGATTCAAGCATTGTGCCACAGTAGTGGGCTCCTGTAACTCTGCTGCCCCTGTAAACACACAGGAGCTGAGACCAGAAAAAATGAGGCAGAATACTCAACTAGTGGCTATAAAATGGGGAAACATGGAGGAGACAAGCAGGGTTTCACAGAATCACAGAATGGTTTGGATTGGAAAGGACCTTAAAGCTCATCCAGTTCCAACCTCCCTGCCACCTTCCACTAGACTGGGTTGCTACAAGCATCATCCAACCTGGCCCTGAACACTGAATGATGGGGCATCCACAGCTCCTTTGGACAACCTCTTCTAGTGTCTCACTACCCTCACAGTGAAGAACTTCTAATATCGAATCTAAATCTACCATCTTCCTGTTTAAAACCATTCCCCCTTGTCCTATCACTTACTGTAACCCCAGTGGTATGAAGGATCAGAGTCTCCTGAGCTCTACCTGTCCCTTGACTCCAAAATGGAGTACCTATCACCATGCAACTCCTCAAATAGTCCTCTGTTTCCCAAAAGGGGCTCTGTGCTTCATGGGATTTGTCCTTCAGGTAGCAAGGCCCAGCCATACCCCTCCTCCCACCCATCTCACTACTGATCGTCAATCAAGTTTGAAGGGCAGCACCTTCAGTGAACCATTTGATTTGAGTTTGGAAAATACGGGGCCAAGAGGCAGAAGGGGTGAGCAGGCAGGGAGCCACTCGCCTTTTGAAAGCAGGCTGCAGTGAAAACACTGCTTATTAACATTGACTAGGTCAGAAAACAGGGAAAAGGAGAAAAAGAGAGAGAAACAAATGCATCTCTGGCACAGCTTCCAATTGATTGTCTGCCATGAAAGCAAAAGCCAGCTGCCATGTTAATTATTCATGATGCCTGGCGCAGAGGGGAGGAAGAGGGGGCTTATGGAAGCCACTCAGCAGTGGAAAATTTGCATATGTAGATAGAAGAGTAGGAAAAAGAGGTGGAGTGCTCCTGTACAAGATAAATGGGCTGCACAACATTTCAGCATCTCCTGATCTATTTTCTGCACTTCGTGTTCATGGCTAAAGAAGTCTAAGTGCTGAGGTCAGCAACAAGTGTGTGTGTGGATGTGTGTGCACAGTGACATACGCTGTAAAGAGAAACCACAGAGGTTTACCAAGGGTAAGCAGAGCCATTTGGTTGCTCTACACTAGCCAGTTTAGGTTAGAAGTTTGCATGGGGTATAAAGAATCCCAGAGGAGCAACAAGAAGCTCATCCATGCAGAATCAAGAATTATGATCGTATTAGTCACATGCTTTGAGACTTGAGGACTTAAAAGTGCAGCTGTAAAAGTAATTACACCAGTCAAGTAGCACAACACAACCTGAAAATGGGTGCAAGCCCCTTGTGTTGCAGCTTCTAGCACTTTCCCTGTAGGAGAAAGGTACTACAAAGCTCTGAGGAAAACAAAAATCAGCTCTGCAACTATCGGAGTGTGGGTGTGGGAAAGAATCAGTACAGTGACATGCAGTGGCAGGGGGTAGAGCAGAGTGAAACAGTAGGATTTCAAGCATTTCAGTACAACCAAGCACCATTAAAAGCATGCAGAATAGTTTGGGGTAAGCAGGTAGAATGAGCATTAGTCTTTCTGCTGTGTCATCACCTAACAAGTTAGTACAACATTCAGAAAAAAACAGCACCGTTGACCTCTTGAATGATCACTTCTCAGGATTCCAAACAATTTTAATGTTTACCTTGCCTTCTATCTTGAGAACAGCCTTCCCTTACCCAGTTTCTATGATGACACTGCACATCTCAAAGGCCAATTTTCCCATTTGGTTTTGGACCCCTTAGTATGCAATTTATGCAGTTCAGCACATATGGGACACTTGTGTGCACACACATACAGCAGGTAAACAAAAATGATGTAGACCATTAAGATTCATCAAAACAGGACCCTTCTCATCCAAACCTAACTGGAAATGCTGCAGAAGAGAAAACAACAGGAGTTGCATACAAGCACAGACAGCAGGATTTGACACAGATCAATGTGATCTTCATGTACCTGGAACATTAACTACACCCAGGTCAGCCTTACTGGGCAACAGAACAGTACACAGAAGAGGGGAGCTTAAGCTGCAATACTTTTTTGGCTCCTGTCAGAAGAGTGCTTAGTGTTTGTTTTCCTACAATATTCCCAGCAAGTTTGTCACCTTTCTTCCAAATCTGCCTTCCTCTGGATTGTCCAAACTGAGAAGCAGAAGAGAAGTTCCTTGTACTGCTGAGTGACAAGTGCTTGGCAAAGATGGCAAACCAAATCCCAGAAGCCCAGATTTGCACCCGGTTGCAGTTATTAAATCCATCTCCGTTTTTCTCCTTCCTGCCTTTCTGATTAGTTCCCAATTCTCTCATTTTTCTCCCATTCCACACAACAACCTTCAGTTTGAGATCCTTGCCTGTTAAGAGCTGCTCCCAAGGCATCCTGTCTTACAGGCTTCAGATTCATCCCTGGTGTAAACTGAAAGCATCTAAGGAGTATTGGACCAGGATGTGGTTAAGCAAGTCACCCATGACCTCTCCAGCATAACACAATCTATTCACTCATGCAATTGGGTCAGAGCCCTTGGATGTGAATCCTATCAAAAGCCAAGATTAAACCTCATTTGCACGTAAAATGGGAATGCATAAAATTGACATTTAATATCATCACAAAGCCTTCTGGGCTCATCTCAACCCCCTACAGAGCCCAATGGCCCCAAAATGTTTCTTCCAGGCCTTTCCCCCGAAGCTTTCCCCCCTGAAGAAAACCTTAGCAGCTTTTGTAAGCCCTTCTGGATTAAGCTGACCAGAAACACACTGACCTTTCTTTGCCCACCGGACAGTGCCCTCGCTGGAGTGAACGTGGTCTTCAAATTTAGTCTGCAAGACCGTGGCCCGCTCCCGGACTTCCTGAGGGTCCGTGCCACAGGATTGCTGCAAGGGCGGCGGGAGGATTAGAGGAAAGAGAGAATTTGAGTCGGGAATAATGAAGCAGTTTACAATAGATTTAATAACAGTAAAATCACACAGTAACCACCGAGGGGCCAACAAAGGTAATCCTCTCAATATTACTAGAGGAAAAAAAAAGATAAAGATGTTAAAGTCAGAGCAGCCTGTGCAGAGAGGAGAGCAAATCAGTTTTAATTTTGTGTTTTCTAACATCTATCATGTATCTTTTTCCCCCTCTCCCACCCCCTCCCTGATTCAACAGGCCAGATACCACTGCTAGTTTCCATTGCAGTTCTGTGGAATAACTCCCCCCAGACTCTAAATTAACAGTTTCAGACTGATGTTGCAAGTTGCTCCTTGGGCAGAAGATCTATGCTCACTCTCAGGCTCCAGAGAATGGACCAAATTCCGTACCTGTGAACAAAGCCATAGTATGAACTGCTCACTATCAATGCCCACATGAAGTTTTCTTACTGTCAACAAGTCATACTTCACTGTAACTGCCATCAGGTGGTTCTTCTAGAGTAAGAGAAGCCCCTTGCACCAACGGCAGGACAGAATAAGCTTCCTCAAACCAAAAGGGCAATTTTGCACGTGCTCAAGCTTTGCCAGGCTCAGACTGTAGGATGCATGTCAGGAAATGGAAAACAAACATTCCTGGGAACAAGCTGTTACTGGGAGGAGAGAAGAGGCTGTATCTCTTTCTCTCAATTACCCAGCCAGAGAAAGGAAATGTGGACAAGGAACAGGGGAATTTTTGATGGGAAGCTGACAGCAAAGTGCAAAGCCAAGCATCCATGGATGTGAACCTCCCCCAAGAAATGGCCACAGTTCTCAAAACCTACTCAGACACAAACCAGCATCCAGGACTAACACTGCCAGGTCCAAGGCAGCAAGTTGATAATGGTCAATCCCCTCTTCTGACCAGGGCTGACTGAAAACAAACATCCACCTCCCACACTTCTGTACTAGGCCTGTGCCAAGGCAACAATCCTGTTGGTCCTTCCTGGCAGATTTGCATGCTAATGCTGCAAACCCCTCCTTCCCTCATAGCTGTGAGCTCACCTCTGCACTGCTGCTAGCCCAGGAGAACTATATCACACTGACACTGCGAACCTCAGCGATCCTGGAAGCCAGGTAATGCTGCTGGCACCCTACACAAAACGTTTTGCTGACCCAGATCTACCACTCTACAGCCAAACAGCAAACCTGCCCAGAGACAGACCTCAAATGTAGCCTAAAACCTCCTGCACAGTGCCCTCCTTTGAACTCAAGATCCCACAGCTTCCACCACTGGGTTCAATGAAGCAAACACACGTGGGGACTAGAGTTCCTGCTCACTCATTACCTGGACTAACTGTCCATCAGCATCTCCAAAGACAATGGTGGGTACATTAAGGCTACATTAAGAGTTTCCCAGGTTCCTGGCCTCTGCTATCTGTCTCCCAGTCCACTTGAGAAAGACTCACCACACAGCTCGTTTCACAGACACCTTTTAGTTTGACTTCATGTGTGCCTATTAATCAGTTGAGACAGTCTCCAGCCGAGGGGCCTCTGTAAAGGTTTAATAAACTACAAGTGGTGCTGCCTCCCAAAGTGGACACTCGCTGTTGTGACTAAGAAGTTTCCATTGATGTGAAACATAAAACTTTCTCGCCCCGCCTGCTCCTCGTAGCCCCCATCACTTTTCTTTTGTTAAGCCTCCTGGCAGCACAAAGTGTCACCTTCCCAGCGTTTTTTAATATGAATGTGAAATTAGTGAGGTTTGCCCTTTCCCCTGGCGGACAGAATCCTCTGTTATTAAAAAGTAAAGCACTTTAATAATGAAAACTTTTTCTCTTTTTCCTGTGTTTTAACTGTTTAAAATTAATGAGAAGGGCATAACGGTTGTCAAAGCGATATTGAAAGCCGGGTAGCCAGGACCGAATAAGCACGAAAATCCCTCCAGAGTGTTAAATAAACAGTGCTTCAGCCCCCTCTGAATCCCTCTGTTGGTTATTGTATACATTCTGTAACAGCACTCAGAATAGATCTGAGCACCGGGGAGGCAGAAAGGTTTCAGAATTCCAATAAAGGCCTCAAATTAAAGACAGCCTGGTGCGAATTCCAGGAGAAAATTAAAGAGACCTCAAGCTTAAGTGACAGGTGACTTGCTTCTGTGTCACAACTGTCAGGGGATTTAGTGATAATATGGCAATATATTACAAAGGACTTTTCTTATTCCCCCCTTTAGGTTTCAAAATGAGGCATCTCTTCTTCCTGGTGCTTGGGGGAGGAAAAAAAAAAGTCAGACAAAAATGAGGGATAAGAAACTAGGTGCATAATTTCCAAAGTGTGAGGTCAGTCCAAGAGAAATAAGTGAAAAAAAAGCAAACGGCAGGAAACATAATGTACTCGGAAAACAGCTTCTCCCCTCCCTCCTCCCATCTCCACCTTGTCTTTTATCCCCCTTCAGCCCCTTGAGACAGATCTCATTTTAAAACTGCCCCCTAATGGGCATGAACCCCCTGTGTTTGATTCCTGCCTTCCAGGGAGGTTCATCTAAGAAAATAAAAAACGAGCCAATAATAATAAAAGCCCATAAATCTAAATTTAAAACTGACTCAGAGCCAAACTGGGAAAATAAAACCTGCCACCATGTCTGGGCAGATCAAATAAAACAGTGCTACTGGAAGTGCACTGGAAGTCATCCTGTATGCTTTGCTCACATGGGCAAGCTTTAATCCTGCTTGTATCCTGGTCTGGATGAACAGGACAATTAATTTGAGACCTTACACGTTTCTCCAAGACCCAAAAGATAAAAGCCTGCCCCAGAGGTTTGTGTGATCTACTCTCCCATCTAGATGAATTTGTTGCATCTGTTAAGTAAGAAGCATTATTGCCGTTATGGAGAAATAGTGGCATAGGAGAACTTTTTCTACCTTGTGTTTACTTAAAAGCCTGCTCTGGCAGATCCCTAACCACCAGTACGATAACTGCGGTCAATAACAGTATCCGTGAGCTAAAAGAAGAAATGGACCTGGATGCAAAGTTATTTAACAGGTTCAAGACATCAGGGGGACTCACCCAAATGCCAAGTGCACCAGGAAAAGACACTTCTTTCTTTCAGAAGAAGGAAACTTCTTATTATGATAAAGACTGCAGCTTTTAGGTTTGAGAAGTTGGGACAAGTACTGAAAGCTTCTGATTTCTTTAAGAGAGTATGTTAATGGGAGAAAGAACTGAAATATAATACAGCCAGACTAAGGCAGAAAAGTTCTTTTTTAAAACAGTAAAAAAAAAAAAACAGGGATGGGGAAAAAAGCACCAAAATGCCAGGCTGTAACAGCTCCTGCTTCCATTATCCTTCAAAACAAAATGAAGGATTTTGTTTTAATAACAACTTTTTACTAACCTCTGCACACCTTCCCTAGAACTCACCAAGTCCCCCTGCCCCCTCCATAAAAGTTGAAAGATCAAATTTATTCTCTTTGTAGGCAGGTGAACATTCACACACCCAGACATAGCCACATATATATTTTATATACCTAAATATAAAATATACATTTTACAGACACTTCAGCTTGCTCCCTGGCTGCACACAGAAGTCCAAAATATACACGTTCCAATGTGGTACTTGTAATGGACTTTAGTTGAGGCAATGAGAACTGAGGAGCATTATAATGAGGTTCCTGTGTGCACGACTATAATATATACATGACTCAATGCACGGAGAGCTGATAAGCAAAGCTAACGCTCTCTCGAATGGCAACATCACAAACAGATCAGGTTCAGCTCCTCATAACAAGTCCTCAGTCACTCTCTGTCCTGTGCAAAGTCCCACTGCATTCCCAGCTCACTGCACTGTCTTTACAGCAAATGTACAGAACTTAAGAGAGATTAACCCTCCTGAAAACTTGGAAATGTGCCCCTGCAGCTTCTGAGAAAGCACTGCAGACCACTCACAGAGCCTCTGATAGCGATAAAATACAAAGCTAACAAACAGAATGAAGCTTTGACTGCATTTAATACATTTTTTTCAAGTAATTCCTGAAGAAGCCTATTTGATCTTGACAGAACTACTGTAATTTCATCCCCATTAAATGGTACATGGTTTTTTTCCCATAAAGAGAAACTCTGTTTCTCAGTACTGATCCTTTCAGAGTCTGAGCCACACAAAAATAGGTTATTCTGGTTTTGTAAATCCCTGCAGCAGAGTCAGACCACCCTAAACCCAGGGTGGGTATATCTCAGCTCCAGTGAAGTCAACAGCAAAATCCCATTCCCTTTGATGGCAGAGGGAAGAGAGGAATTCAATCCCACCTTTGACTGCCAGTGAAAGGAACCAGCTCCTTCTGAATGTGCACTCATGTACCCGGCATGGCAGCACATGACCAGGCAGCACTGCTGAGCAAAACCAGAGCAACTGCTGCTTTCAAGCATGGTTTGGTTTGATATTTTTGTGAATTAAAGGGAGAAAGACAAAAGAAAAGTTATTTAGAATATTCTGTGCTTAGATGTCTAGAGTATTTTACAATTTAAAAGCATGGGAGAATTACCTATTTGATGAGTCCTGATAGTAAAAAGACTTGTTAGCTTTTTATTGCTGTTCCTTTGGAACAAGGAACATAAAGGCACTGAGATGTTTCGGTGAGTATTTCTGCAATGATTCAACAATTTTGAACCTCTGCATGTACTGGGCTCTGACATTCAGCAGGCTTTTTCTCTTGCCACTTTTCAAAAGCCACATCGTAATTTCCTAGAAAAAAACATGTTCTCTTTTTTTGCCCAGTTTCCAAGAAATAACATTTGTCCTCAAGCCCAGAGCAAATAATATTTATTCTGTCCCACGTCAGCAACAGATTTAAAGTGCAATTTCTGCATAAATGTATCTGTGGAAAAACTGTCCAAAAGTTACCTGCCTATAAGCACATTTGGGAGCAAAGGAAAGTATTTCTACACAGAACTACTTCAAATAATTTTTGAATTAACAAAGCACAGCTAAACTTTTACATATTTGTTTAATGAGTTAAGAGGTCATATCCTAGGCCTGATCCAGACGTTCGAAATGCAGGCATTACAGGCCGCTTTCAGGGAAAAAACGTGCAGTCATGGGAAAGAGCTTTAAACAGAGCTGTATCTCAGAGGAGCCACAGATCTGGCTTTCTGTGAAATATAGGGTGTGTAGGAAAACTGAACATCTTTCAAAAGCATGTATACCCAGGAAACCACAGTTTGTAACAGTCATCTGCAGGAAAGAAGGTGGCTCATACATGGTGTAACAGAAAGAACGAGCAGGCAAAACAGCAACAAGAGAAAAAAGAGCATGCTGCATCATGCTTGACACATTCTTGACTTCCATTCAAAATGAGGGTTCTTGGAGGATTTAATTTGCCAGAATGCAGGAACGCCTGAGACATCAATTGCAAATGACTGAATTCTGTGAATTAGCAACTTGAAGGCAGACCCAAACCTTGCTGAAGTCAATAAAAAGATGCCTGTCAACCCAGTGCGCTTTAGTTTAGGCTCCAAGTAAATACAGATAATAAAAACCCATATGTGACACACCACCAAATCTTATATCTTAAGAGAAGTTTTGTGTCATTTGTGATCTCCAGCAGTACTTTAGTGCCAAAAATCCACGAACAGAAACACAATGGGGAAAATACCCTAAGCTTTTGCAGCCAGAAACCTTTATTTGCCTGTTACAAAAATACTTGCTGAAGCGTTAAAAACGATGCTTTTTGGGGACAACAGTTTAATGATTGGACAGTTGTGATATAAGGCAGTTGTAGAATTATTTGCATTGCCCAACATCACGGATATGCCAACCCTCGTATGGTAAAGACAGAAGCTAAGGGAAGAATACTCATGATGTCTAACTGGTAAATGAAAACTGGAGCAATTCCAAATCGGCAGAATAACTCACCTTTCTTCTTGGTCTGTGCAACTTGAAGCGATCGTCTTTCATCAGGCTGGATAATACTTTCTCCATCTTTATCTCTGAAACACTGAAGCAACAAGACAAAAAAATTACCCTTTCTCCAGCTTTTCAGATATAGCACATAACGAACCACAGGCTGACAATGGAGAGCAAAAAGACTGAGATTTACATGTTCAACTTGAGAATTTATCCCTGGAATACAGGTCTTGCTCCAGACACTTACTCAGAAACCCTGAAAGAGTAACTATCATAAAATCTCGGCCCCAGCTAAACTGGTGCTTTCACTGGAAGAGACACAGTTTTACCCACAATCTTGTTGCTCTTACAAGTCATCAACACACGCTCCAATTCGAACAGAGCATCATAACTGAGGGTGGACTTTCAGTTCTCTGTGAGTCTCTTTGGTTCTTAACCAGAGTAAATAATTCAAGAAAAAAGTTAGGTCTTGAATTACATTTTCATTGTTTTAATGATATTTCTTTCCTTGAATTAAGAAGCACCAAGACAAGTGGGAACCACCTGATTCCATTTTCCACTAAGAGAAACTCAAACCAGAGTTGAAGCAGCTCAGAACAAATGCTTCTTGCAGATTTACTTTATAACAGTAAGATCTGTAACCTCCACTTTGAACCCAGAGCATGTCAAACATTTTATCGTACATTAGATGCCATGGTCTTCCTGATGGACGCACACCCCCTCCAACTCATTTATAGCTTCAAAAGCCACCTCTGACACCAAATACACTGTTTGATTTCCTTCCCTATTCTTAGAACTCACCTTCCCTCTCATTTGAAGTGCAAAGCCAAAGCCCAGCGCAGTAGGGACCCTATAGCATCTTTTTTAAATACAGGAGACTCAGTCAGCTGTCCTAGCCAGGCTTCACACTGGGCATTTATTTTCATTCTGTCGACTCATATTCCTCCTGTAGAGTCAACCAGATGATTTATTCTCCAGTCCTGCTTGCAAGACACTGCTGGGTACTCTTATGGCCCAGATACTGGAAACGCTTACAAACCCACTTCATTTTAAGGTGCGTGGTCCTACTTAGAGGTGCATTTACAGGAGACGAGAAATTCTTCATCCTCTTTAACACTGTCTTGTGGGGCACACATACACCAGGTGATAATACAGGAACAGCTGTGCAGCTCCAGGCCATTAATATTACAGCTGCATCCAAACTGGGTCCAATTTCCAAGGGAATTACCCAGATGATAAAAGCTGAGGTTTGTGGGCCCAAATTTTCAGCAATGGGCAAAGGTCATCTCTAGAAAACAGATTCTTTCCCTTTTTATACCAGAATAGATCATAAATACTGCATGGAGCCAAGGAGTTCATTTGGGGTTACATCAGTCTAAAGAAGAGAGAAATCTTGGGGGTCCACCAATTCTCTGAGACTCCTGAATGTCAGATGAATAGAAAGATGTATGCGGTTTCCAAAAGGAAGCATTGCTGATACTCTTTGATTTGTAAATTACAGAAAGACATACTAACAACAAGGATATTCCCTTTCTTTCACTCAAAGATCTCTAAACACCTGGCTAGGAAGAATGGATGAATCATTCCCACACTGTGTAACAGGATACCACAATCCTCGCCTGTTCCCCAGTCCTTCCCAGTTAAAGTGACAAATACCTTTTACTTTTGCAATCTACCTTGTCAACCTCAGTCAGCTCACCACCACAATACAAAGAAAGGGAAAAAGGTGGTCCAGAGAAACAGCCATCCAGCCTGGATGGTACAGGGTAGCCTCGAGATATCCTATATGGGAGACAAGCAGCTGGGACTCACGACGTAGCAGATTCCTCTGCAGAGAATGCAGAGAAAGGCGGGGGAATGATGGGGGAGAAAGGGAAATGGAGCATAAAAAGACAACTGAGGGTTTCTCTGTTTGGTTTTGAAGAGTATAACAGCAAATTAAAACATAAATGGCAATCACTTAAGCAAGAGAAAAGCATCCCCCACCACCCCCCCCAACCCCAAAGGTTGCTTTGACACCGCCATGAATGAAAACGTCAAACCTTTGACATTGATTTGTGTGGGATGTCACCCCCTCTCCGATCCTCCTCTCGCCTGGCGCGCCGCCAGCTCGCAGCCTAACAGCTCCGTGAACCGGGTTCACAGCGGGGAGCGCCGCGCGAGGGGGGCAAGCACAGCCCTCCAGAAGGGAGAGAAATGACTCGTGCCTTCACGGCGAGGCGCTTCCCTTTATAAATTAGTTAGGCCGCCGTTAGGAGATAAAGAAATTATCTGATAGCTGTCGAGGCAGGCGCTGCTAGATTGCAGTTGAAGGAGGTAAAAGAGATATAAGGGAACAAAAAACGAAGTAAACCTCGCTGACTTTCGTCTGCTTCTTGCCTCTTTCCTTTGAAGGAAAATCTGTTAGTTACGTTGAGAGCTGAGACAGAACGTTTTGGAGTCTAACCTTTAAAATAAAGAAGAAAGAAAGAAAGAGGAAATGTAAACATGAGTGTGCATGTGCACGCACACAGCTACAGTTAGGTAGAGGAACCACAACTTCAAGCCACACAAAGACTGAAAGGAAAGTTGCAGAGAGAGATGCACACAGCTTTCTTGAGGCCCATTGGGAATTGCTGATCTCAGCAGAGCCAAAGTGAGATCGTTTTGGCAAAGGCTAATGCTGCTTTTCCACAGTGGAAGCCAAGGAGAGGCTTCAGGTACCAGTGAAAATTAATTGCGAGCGATTTCCAATTTCAAAGGCAGTCATCCCTAATTCCGAAGTGGATTTTCATCCAGGAACAAAGCCACGTCTGCTCTCATTACTTCCGACTCTCAACATTTCTGGACTTACTCCCATGCATGCTGGGGTGGGTGGAGGGGCTTAAGAAAAACTCTGGGTCAGATCCTCATCTACTGCAAAGCAGCACGGCACATCTCATTTACACCAGCTGAAGGCTGCGGGGACCCATCTCATGCTTTGTCTTCTCAGAAATACATATTTTATGAAGTATTTACATTTCAATAAACCCAGCAGGAATTTCATTTAAAAAAGAAAAAAACAAATTAAAAAAGAAATTCACAACACACGCTCGCCCTCCACAAACCCCAAAGATTGAAAAATTAAGCAAAGAATAAAAAAAATGCAAACTCCAGAAACTTGTGCAGTCCAAGTCAAAAGCTATGAGGACTTAGGGTAAAGAAACAAAAATTACCAGTGCTTAACAGGATCAGTGACAGTCCAACACATGCTGTCTTTCGCCCTTGCACTGAATTAAATTGTCAGGATTATCACCATAATGCTCTGTTTATGAAGGGTAACGGCAATTTGTGCTGATGGCACTTGCTGTCTCTTGCTTCAAGCTGCCTTCCTGCATCTTCTCTGTAATTCATCAGCTCTTTTCTATCCCGTTGCCCCTTCTCACACCATGCACTACTGTATAGGAAGAGCGGAGGACATATGACTGCAAAGAGGCCGACTCGCCCACCCATGCCAATTAGACACTCATCTTCTTCCATCTGAAGACAGGGGTCAAGGAAGGCAAGCTGCACTCCTTTTTGGCGAGTCCCTCATCTGCAGGGCAGCACGTTTTATGAAGAACATAAAACAGACAAACAAGAAAAGACAATTCCCACAGTTGTTTGGCTCTGTTGATTTGAGAAGTGGAGCAAAAAACGAGCATTCAAAGAAACCTCCCTCTGCTCATTCAGCACAGCCTTCTACAGATCTGTGAAGAACATGGTGAGCTCAACAACAGGTCTCCTTAGCAGATATAATTACCAACATGAGTGGCACTGCTCTTTAAACTTGTTAAGAATCAACAAAATGGGATAAAAGCATTAACATTTAAAATAAAAAAAGGAGGGAAATTTCCCCCTCCTTCCTCCAACACTTCCAAAATATTATAAAATAGAAAAATAGAACTTTCCACTTGGAGTTAAAAATTCACAATTATGTGGGATTTCACCTTTAAATGTCAGTGCTGTTTGTTACATGAAAAAAAATCCTGTCAGCTTAGCCCTCCATGTCTTGCTGGTGTCTGCTTAATAGATAGTTACCTGGGATGATGGATGGCTCTTTGTTAGACCACTAAATGGCTCACAGCCTAGAATAAGCCGGTATTTACTGCCAACATTTGTTTGTTTCAAGGATGCGAACCCAAATATGACTCCAAGCAGCTCCACCCAACATAAACACAAGAAATAAGAGAGAACTAATTTGTGCATGGGCTCCATCAACACTAGTACAGCACTGAAGAGACTATACTCAGCTGATGTTCTGAAACGCTGAGAGACAGTGGAGCAGGGAGCAAGGGGAGTCACATACACCCAGCTGACTGCTGAGGAGGCTTAAGACCTGATGGCACTCCTGACTAGCAATGCTGAGCAGAGACTTGTGGGTTTTCTCCACAAAAGGACCATGGCACAAGCAAGCTAGGCTAAAATCTCATCATGGGTTGGCCATCAGGTAGCTGACTGCACACTGAGCTGGTCCTTACCCACCTTTACATTCTCTCCTTACTGCCTACTCCCAAGTCTGAGCTAGAGAGGGTGAAGGAGAAGCTTTCTCAGCTAGCTTGGAAGCACACCCCACTTTTGGTCTGCAGAGTCCTTATTACCTTTCAGGACCATACTGGGCACTCACTACTTGCAAAAGGCCTTACTATTCCTGTTACAACCCACTTGCACAACTCATCTTAGCCAATTACCTGCCAGGTATGATCCACAGCTCCCATGCTATTTCCCTGCCGGATCTCTCCTGAAGAGAAATCACAGTCTCTGACAATATGGTGCTATGCAGGCAGATGGCCAGTTAGCATTTGACAGGCTCATTTGACTTGTGATCTCCACATAGCCACAATTTGAACCCAGGGCCAGAGAGATAACAATGGAGTGCAAAGGATCTCCGACTATCGTCTCCTCTCTGCCCCTCACCACACACACTCACTCACACACAGTCTGCCAGGCTGATGATTTTCACACACTTTCCTTCCTCCTTTTGCTAGTCTGGGGCCGGTCCTGGATCACAAGAATTAATAAATTCTTATTAAAACCTGCACGAGACACAGTCCCGCTGCAAGTGCCATGGAAGGTTAATTAGCAAGGATGAGCTGAAACTTTTGTTCGCGTTTCTGACTCACTTAATCTTGTGAGAAGCCAGCAAGCTGACATATTCTGCCTCCGAAGGCGCCAGGACAAGCAGGCTGTTCCCGTGACAGCCAATGCGAGCCGTCCTCCCGATCCGGTGGATGTATTCCGCAGGTGAAGCTGGAGCATTATACTTCAAAAAGGGAACATGAGAAGGGAAAAGAGGAATTAACAGAACACGGCGTGTTAATTATAAACGAGACAGCCCGCTCATCTGAAACAAAAGGGATCTCAGCAAACCCCACATGCTGCACCTCCCTCGGAATTGGCCTGTTTATAAAGAGCCCGTCGGGCTCATCCCTGTAACCATCACTCAGCCCCCTCACCCCCCATCATGACATGTGAATGTGACACATTGGCCAACTTTCAGATAATAGGACAGTTTCCCCATCTCAGTGTCTCTCTTTGCCTTTTACATTTTATTTCTATACTGGCACATCAGGAACCTGTTTGCTTCCCTTAAAAAATAAAATAAAATAATCTCAGAGAGACCTCAAACCAAACAGCCCCCAAGAGTACCCCTATGGTGCAGGAAGCTGCTTCTCTGTATCATCAAATAGAAGACGACAGATTCAAATTTGGACTTGGGCTAAATTGCTTTGTTTTGGTTAAAGCAAATCATAGCTGGTTACTGGAGACAAGAAACCTAAGAGAGATGAGGGAGTAAGTGCTTTCAGCAGCATAAAATGCAGGTAACAACTCTCTTACCATGTACAACTATCAGTCAGTATGAAAATGTTGCTTAAAGTCACCCCTAATATAGTGGTGCCTCCCATTTACTTCACTGGGAATCAAAACTGCCCAGCTATTTGCAAGATCTGATAAAGGGTGACATATTTCCCTCCCTATAACCTCCCCCTATTCTTCCTCCCTCCTCTTTTTCCTGGAAAAAGGAACATGCACAGAGATACTGCTCAGAAATGAGCCCTCAGCAGTTTAACTGGAAAAAACCCAACCACCAAAGCCCACTATAGTGTTTATACCTGTGCCCTCTGGCAAAGTTTCTACTGGCTAGAGGTGTGAGTAAGATGCTGTGAGCAATCTAATTGCTCCCTGCAGGTCCTTGCTCTTGGACACAGCTCTCAGGACAGCTGAGATTTCGCCTTCTGGACACACAGAAGTCTCTCAGGGCTTTAGGTAATTTGCACTGCGTTCTAACACTGGCAACTATATCTTTGGTTAAATTATATTAATATACAGATCTGGGAATTACAGACTTCACTTCCCCAGCCTTCTCCAGCTAGCTACCTGCTGCAAAACCTTTCATTTTCAAAAACACAAAAATTAAAATCAAATTTGTTACCTGAAGGGATGAGGTAGAATTAAAAAGCTTTGTTGAGGCTCTGCGCCCTGTTCTTTTTACCCAGGTGTTGCTTGATTCTTGCGAATCTCTGGATCAGTTTTTCCTCACTTCAACTAACCTTTTCTTAATTATTAATCTTTTATAAAAATGAAATCTACTTCATGCTCTCAAGCTTCCTCTTTGATATGACAGGCTGCTATTTTTAAGGTTCAATCCAGCTCCCCTAGTTTCTCTCTTTTCTTCCAAGACAATATTTCTGTCAACAGCAATGCAGCAGTGGGGTTTTTTTGTTGTTTGGTTGTTGTTTTTTCCCAGGGAAAATCTGTACTATGCAGTTCTACTGAAAGCCGAACGCTTACAGTGCCAACCCAGCACAGCCTCACTTGCAACATTCAGGTCACTGCACAGACACTATTGGGCTACTCAATGTTTAACATTAGGATGACATTTAAACTCCTAACAGAACCGCCTCCCCAGCAAGCTGAGAAACATAAAAACACAAAACTGCAATAGAGATGGTCAGTACTTCACAAGATTTGGCTTCCTGTAGGGGGAAATGGAGGGCATTTCCTCCCAGCCTGTGGAATATTATTATACAGCTGGTAACACTGGAGTTATTGAAGAGGAAAACAAACTACCAGAACCAAAGGTATGATAACAGTGCTGTATCCTAGCAAAACCCTTAGTCCCTATCCTGCAGTCAGGAACATGTCAGTCTTCCACACCTGTAGGCATCAGCACAAAGACCAGAAAACTGCAGAAAGAAGGACTGGACAAGAAAGGGATTTCATCTGAGCAACACTGCACTCCATATACAAGTACATGCATACACACACTGCAAGCCTACCTGCACAATCCATGTCACTTGAGGCAGGTCTAATCCACGTGCTGCAACATCCTTTAAAATTAATAGGGAAATTACTTCAGTAAAAATGCTTTCAAGATATCAGCAAAGAACAAGCTCTTCTGGGATGGCAATTATGCCAGGAAACAACTAGCTATGCAAGTAGGAATCTTACGTGCCTTGTTTGGGGAGAGATGGACCAAAGGTCAGAAATAATGTTGAGGGTTTAAAGCACAAGGAATATTATTAACATGCTAATACAACAGAAATAATTCACTACTGTGGCCCAAAGCCTGGAGGATATTAAACCACTTGTCTGAGAGTGGTGTTGAGTTACAGCAGTCTGTTATAGTCCCTTTATATTATATCTGAGAGAATCAACTGTCTTAATGGTAGTGATACCTTTGGTTCTTCAGTTTGTTTCACTGATGAAAACAGATCTGCTCATATGCACATACTACTCAAACAGTGAGAGAGGCAGAAGGAAATCTCTGGAAGGCAACAGTATTTCTGAGAACACCTTTCTTCACAGAAAGCCTAAGAATTAAAACGTGGCTGCTTATGATGAAGAGGAAAATGGACATACAGCCAATGGTCAAGGATCCAAGGCCTTGAGTGGAGTGTCCAAGGATGCCCTGATCTCCACCTACAACTCATTGGTTGTTTCCTAGGTGATGGGCTGAAGTTGAGGAGCAGGTGACTTGCAGATCACTTGGCCCTATGATAAAAAGCCCACAAACAATTTAGCAGAACCTGCAGAAAGCTGGAGCACAGCTCAAGGAGAAGGGACTTCAGCTACCCCTGAGATTTTCACCAGTCTTGTTTCGATTTGGAGAAGCAAAACTCAACCCTGAAGCAACAAGTCTGAAGCTGCTGTCAGGAGTGTTATTTGATATGCCAGCTGTTGAGAAAACCCATCAACTTGGAGAAGGACTTGAATGAGACCCTTTAGTTACCCACAGACATTATAGCTCAAAAACCCATACCCTTTCAAAGAGAAAAGTGAGTGTAAATACTGTTCAAAATGGAGAGGGAGTGTAAACATGTTTCAATCTCCCTTCTTGATTTTCTGTTCATTAGTAATGTCCTCACATACTCCTTGGATTTTGCATTCACCACGCAGAATAGCAGAGCAGGTGTGCAGATTTAACTCTGTTAGGAAATGTTTTGGAACACATGTATCTTTTAGCTGGTTGCAAAATAGAATATATTAAGAATGTAAGCAGGAGCTTAATGTACTAAAAATGTGTCAGCCACCCACTGAAGTGTTTTCATGCAACTCCCACACACGTTAAAAGACTCGGAAGCTGATGTTTTGGCAGCAAAGGCCTTCCCATAAGCACTAGCCAAGTTGTTTTGTGGCTCCAAATGCAGTAAAAGAGGAGACACTTTCCACAGCGCCCACTCTGAAATAACACACACTTTCACTCCAACACGCTCATTAAGCAGCGGCTTGTTCCCAGAGTCAGGATGAACAGATGTACAAAAAGCCATTTAAAGGAGGTTGGAGGAAATAAATCAAGAGAAGTCGGGGAATGTGTACAGCAGTTACCAGGATAACAAGATTATAAAGTCTGCAGCACAATCAGACAGCAGTGCTGATGCCTGATTCCGATCAGGTTGGCCCTCATATATTTCCAGGCTGACATGCCTTTGGTCTTTTCCTATACTGTGCTCTTTCTTATACCCAGTACCCTAGGAAAGGCTGTGTTTGATAGGAGGGCTCTGACCTTGGGGCAGGGTCAGCTCACCCAAAATAAACAGATAGCCAAGCTGCCCCTGTGGTCAGGTGCATGCGCCTCCAACATGGGGAAGAGAAGGAGACAGCAGGGGCAGGAGCCATTGCTCTCATTCATCAGGATTTTTCTCTCCTCTTCTAAGATACCTTTTCTCAACACCTCTGGCTGGAAAACTACTGCTGCAGACAGTCTTGTTCTTGTGTGCCTTAGCCAAAGCATGCAGAGAAGTTGAATAGTTAACCAAAAGCCTAATAAATAGCCAGGGACAACATTTTAGGAGCCTTTCTCCCATCATCCATCTTGTATTCACTATTGCTTTCACAATCCCACCAACTCCACTCAGCTGTTACTGACACATATCAGCAGCTATTCTCCCGGGGTTTAACTTGGCTTTCTTTCAGAAGTGTCTTGGGATTTACTGGTAATTGGAGTGTTTTGCAAACTCTCAAAGATTCCTCAGTATCAGTCCACCTGCGTCTCCTGTAGCTCCTTTTCCTCAAAGACCCTAGCAGACAGCAGCAAGGTAGAATTAGGATGAAAAGTTTTGAGTTGATTTGCTTTCCTCTGCTGGCAGAGCCCATGAGCTTCCTGCTTCTCAGATCTTTAGAAAGTAGTTGTGGGTCACCATACCAGGAAAGAATACAACTCAAACAATAGTTATCCAGTTTTGCTAGCACTACATTTATTCCACACACAGAATCACTAACCTGCTGCCAGTGCTTTTCCAAGAAGCCCAATATATTTCTAATGTACTTCTTTTCCACTGCCCCAGAGAGTACTGCCCTTTCCATGCATGACCTCACACCACCTTTCCTTAATAACAAGGAAATCTAGAATACGAACTGCTGATCTAGAATCAGCAAGTCACCACTGGTTCTTTTCAATGGACAACTGAAGGGAGCATTAAGTGACCATCTCACAGGAGAAAGGAGAAATAACCTACATCAATGCAATTTTAGAGAAAACCCAGATACCCAGCGAACATGATGACCTTAACCATATTACTGCCCTGACCCCAACTGCAAGACACAGAATGGCACAGTATCAAGGTACAATCTACCTGAGGACCCCCAGGAAATGCTGAAATTTCTGCTTCTAACAATTCACATTACCAGCCTAAGCCTGTGGTGGTGGGGTACACAGGGGTGGGTGCAAGGGAACAGAGGGCAGAAAGGTCACACCTAAAGCAAGGCACTGAAGAAGACCCAACAGACACAGCCACAAAAGTTTTGCAAGGGCCTTGGTTTGCTCAGTCCCTCTCACACATTCTAATTAGGGCAAAGGAAATTGCTAAAGTTGCTTTTGAAAGACACTCAATGGTGAGGTCTTGAAGGCCCTGAGCTTGACAATTGGCTGCCTACATGAGGCCTAGAAGTACAGATGGAAGGCAGCTTGCTCAGGTGCCAGGCTGTCAGTTGGATTAAAATGACTCATTTATTTACCAAAGAACCTCACAAAGTGCTTTAGCTAACAGGCAGAGAGGGCCTAACGGCTCTCCAAGCTGGGGAAGAAGCTCTCTCGCCTTCCCGGCCTGCCAAAAGTCATTACTGCCGAGTGTGGAAAGCCATCAGCAGGGTAGAGACCCCCGTCGGCAGGGTGACAGATTGGGCTGCGTAATCAGAGGAGGAAGGGGAGAGCACAGAAGCTGTCAGAGGCGAAAGCTCTTGGCTGGGGCCGCCAGAAAACTGGCAAGATGAGTTAGCGTGACTGAGTAAACAGCAAACAATCTCCAAATGATCTTTCCTCTCTCCCTGGAAGAGATGAACTTGTTTAAAAGGCACATCCCAAAGGAAGCTGCAAAGAACTTCAGTGAAGGAGAGAGAAATAAATGCGGATGAGACCCTCTGAGATACACGGCCCTTCTTTATTTTCTTGTCTGCCAGCTTATATTGTCTGGCAAAAATATTTTATGGAATATATTAATATACACATGACATACAGCAAATTAATAAAAGGAACAGCAGGTCCCATTGCTTACTAGAGCGGAAAGATGGGTGGAGAACACGGCATAAGGGACAAGGGAAGGACGGCAACATTATTTGTGTTGCTCTTTTGTGAGCCAGGTTTCAAGATTTCATGGGCACAAAACATGATTTTTGCAGTAAAAAGAACAGAGCCCTCTTTCTGCAAAACATTTTTGCTGATATGAAGAGAAGTGTCAGAAAAGGCAATGCCCTCAGAGGCAGGAGGTGGTCACAGTGCCTGGCTGCCCTTTGGACATCTGCGTTGGGGAGGCACCTGTAATGTGGAACTAGTGCAAAGTGTATCTCTATATTAAGGTGTCCATATGGTCCCCATTACTGTGGTAACAGGCCACCTCCTGGTTTCAATGCATTTGTCCTCCCAACATCTCTGTAAGATAGAAAAGTGCTACTATCCCTATTTTACAGATGGGGAGCTGAAGCACAGAGAGATTCTGGACTCAGACACAACTTACTGTGCTTAACGTGCTAACTATGTGCCAGCTGAGCCACAGTAACCATAACTGTCAGGATTTGCATCCCTGCCTTGCAGTAAATGCAAAGTAGCTTAGATGGAAATGAAGGAGGGTTACGATAAATGCATTACTTTACACTACCCTCTTCATGGCAATCTAGATTAATTCACATTACCTCCCATTTATGACAGGTCAGGAGCAAACACACAACTATTGCTGCTCAGCTGACATGTGGCTACTTGCCTTGTCATCACAATTCCATATTCACTTGCACAGAGTCTGTGGCATGGTAGGAAATCAAACCACATCTCCAGCGTCTCAAGATGGGGATCCCACCCACTCTATTTCTTTATCTAACTTATTCTTCCTCCTACCTTGTCAACAGCTGTACATTTCCTGGCAGATTCTTCCTGTCACAGGCTGCATTTCCCTTTTGAACAGTCTCACCCAGGAACTGATATCCCAGTGACTGCAATGATTCCATTTTCTCTTTGTCTAAAATTGAGCATTCACTGTCTTTCCAAACGTGTAAATGAAATTTCAGTTTAACAAGACATGTCCCTGAAATTTCTCCGTTACAGACAGCATGTACATGAAGCATAACAAAGTATTATTTAGAATTTACCAAACACTTTCTATCTTTAAAACACTTAAGCTACACCACCGAGTGATTTAACCTTTGCTATCCTCCTCAGTTAAGACACTATGTATTACCTCTGTACACTGGGTAAACCAAGCTATAGATACACTTATGCATTGCAAAGATGCATTTTGACCTTGATCACACCACTGAAAGGTTGCACACACAAGCAGGGCAAAGACTAGCACGTAACAAGTACAATTTTACAGGTGATACAACGCATAACGCGGCAACACTAAATTGAACACTCCTACACACACGGCAGCCCTAGTTTGAACTCGGCTATTAAAAAGATGAAATTCAGCCCCCACCCTCTGAAAAAAAATGGCAACTAGTTTCCTTTAAGAATAATCTGCTGGAAGAGGAGTCATTTCAGAGCTGGAGAGGGTTTCTCAGCTCTAATTACTCCCGATCGCTGTAATTTACAAGTTTGCGGTGGGTAGAAATCGCCAAGATTCACACATTTTCAGATCAACAGCTGCCACTATTAGAGAGCAAATCGTGCAGCCTTCTGCACCACTGCAGCAGGCTAGCTGTGGCACCGACAGGTCAGAAACGAGAAGAGGAAGGTGCCACCAGAGCACAAGGGTGCCAGCAAACTTCAGTAGAGGACAAGAATTTCTCCCTCAGCACCCTTGAAGGAAGCTTGAAGGGCAAAGCATGGAGAGCAGCGGAGCATGTGCATTTCTAGTGACACCATTCTCAGGTTGGGCTTCCCTTCCATCCCTGCAGGTTTTTGTTTTTAACCTTGGGGTAGTCATTAAGATGGGAAATATCACATTACATCCAATTTACCTGGCAGTTCTGGGGCATACCACAAATTAGGATTGCGTTCTACTGACTGTATGTAGAGGGCGAGGTTCCAGCTCCAAATGATCAGATTTTTCCAGACATAAGACCATGCAAAATACGTAGAGGCCTCGTTACAGACATACACTTTCTCTGTATGTGGTACCTTGCAGCAAAAGATCATGTAAATGTCTGCAAAGAGGACATTGGTCCTTATTTAACATGTGAGATGCAGAAAAAGGAGATGACTTTCCTCAAGGTCAGACAGCGAACTGGAATGAGAGCTCAGTGCCAAATCCTCTGCTCTACCATTAGGTATCAGACAGGCCCATTAGCGTGGAGCTGCAAAGGGACTCCAAGTTACTTACAGTGCAAAGCAAGATGCCGGTCTTGGATTTTAAGAACTCCTGGAAGACCTCTGTTCTTTCCTAAAGAATTGATACAGAAAAATGAAAGAGTGCTTATGCACATTACAATCAAACATAAAGCAAATTAGTTAATGTAACAATTTAGCAACTATGCCTTGTTCACTAGATCATGTACAGCTTCAAAAGCAATTGACTTACAGTAGTTCCAGTCAGACTGCTTCTGCAAATGGAAAAAAAGATGTATCTACAGCATACAGGTGTGGTCCTGTGTAGGAAGGCAAAGCATCTGGGGCAAGCCTGAATGCCTTTATTCAAATCAAAGCAGCCAACACCTCCAGGGTTTGCACAGAAGCATGGCCTATATATGTTAGAAAGCAGTAACTGTTTTACGTGGAGAGGGGATCCATAAAAGATTAGGCAGCAGCAGCAGAAGCACTGGCATACTTTATGGGCAGCACACGCTTTTGTGAATGCAAGAAAAAGCTGGACATCTTGTCTGTCCAGTCACAAGATGGGCAGGATAAACCCATTTGGTTGACAACAGTGATATAATCACATCACAAGAGATCAGCTTCATCATGTGCCCAATGAGGCATGCAGACAGTCACTGGACTGACTGAGTAATTATTAAGTATTGGGCATGCTCAGCTGCACAATTCCTCACATGAACTGTTGTGGGATAAGTCTTCAAAGTAACAGAGCAGGAGGGAGGAGATCTTGGCTAGAAACCCCTGCCCAAGGGGGCAGGGAGGCAAGACTCCTGGGCCCTGCAGGCAGCTGCCACAGAGCTCCCACAGGAAATGACCTCATGCTGGCGAGGGCCACCAATGGTGCTGCTGACACTGGGATGAAGGCTGTTCCTTACATCACACTACATCACGGTATTTACTATCACACAAGACAATCTCTTAGCACTAAATAACTCAGTGGCACGTGGTCTTCATTTGGCAGTACCACCTATCCACCTACACTAGCTATGAGAAATAACCACACACACACACTCCTTTGATCCGATTCCATTTACTCTTTTCCTTTTCAGAGCTCAAGCTGTCTCTGGCCTTAGAAACACCATACCCATTTCATTCCTACGCCTTTTGCTTCCTCCTTCTAAAGTATCCTTGTTCCCAAGCTTCAAAAGCGTTCCACCTCAGAGTTCCAGAGATTAAGTGAATGTCCTGTTACGTTGATGATATAGAGGGAACCTTACATATTTGACTCCCAGCTAGGGGTACTGTTCCAGGAAGGAAGAGAAACTTGGGCCTTGCTGACACACTGAATCCTCTGCTGACAAAAATTAAAGAAGAGAGCACGCTGTATCTTGTTGACAATGACAGCAGCCGTGCTCAGCAGTACCATATGGGATCCACAATTTAGCTCCATTAATGCTCTTAATTTGAAGACATCGAGCACTAATTACACACTGGGTACTAAAAAGACAAAACCCTTCCCCTGGTGCCAGCTACTTAGTGGTGTTCTGTTGGCTTAACAGCTGGTCAGGGTAGAGTTGGGCCAGACCAGGCCTGCTCACTTGCTCAGGCAGGCAGGTTGAGGAAAGGCCAGACTGCAGGGACAGCAAAGCACATGTTTCTGGTCTCCACAGGATGGGAATGAGTGAGAAAAAACAATGGCTCTTCACCTCTTACTTCATCAGAATTGCTCTATTCATTTGTGATCTCTGCTGTGCAGCTCATAGTAGAGCAGTAAGTCTCTCCATCACAGACCAAGGACAGGATCAGGGCCTGAACTTTCAAGGGAGGTCCCTCAGCTACTGAAATGCTGCAGCACCAGTTCATTTGACACTCTTTTCCTGGCCTTTCAGCTGTCTGTAGCAAGCTTGAAACCCATCACCCAAGTCTATCCAGCCAAAACCTAGACTTATTTTGGGGTAACTGCTGTTAATTGCTACTATTTCAGCCCAGGGAAGAGCAGCATGTCAAGCACATCAAAATGAAAGCCAAACTGCTCCATCCTCATCTAATGGGGCAACTTATTCAGTAGTAATGTTTCAGAGCTTGGATGAGGTTTTCCTTTGGCATTAAAAGCCTGTCTTGACTGCACAAGAGAGAACCACGGATACATAAATGGTTTAGTGCACCCACTGGGAATACAGAATGGCTGTCTCAGCCTGCTGAAATAACACCTCTTGCCTCTTCAGCTGTGTTTTTCAGATATAGCTACTAAGCTACTTTCCAGAAGCGGGACAATATTCTCATTCTCATTAGCAGATGGAAGAGTGAGGCCCCTAGAGGTGAAATGACTCTCTGTCCTCTCTTCTGCCCTCCTCCACAAAATAATAAATCAAAGGGAATAAGGAATAAAACAGTGTATCCTGACATTCTGAAAATGCTTACTTCCTGTTCCATATTGCCATGCAGTCGTAGAAACTGTAAGCGTGCAGAAGAGAGAGATGAATGTTCAGGTTGTTCTGATTCCAGCCCTCCTGAAAGGACCTTTAAGAGGAGCTCATAGTAGAATTCCACTTGTTCACAGCTGGAGAAAAAGATGATCATCTTGTGGTGTTTTTCAAACTGTGAGAAAAACAAGAAAATTGCACATAACCATTTCTATAGGTCTCTCTCAATTCCATGGTCACTGTAAGATCTAGGTGACTTCCACTTCCAGAGATATGATTATCCATGAAAGGATAACAGAGTTTGACACCAAATACTGAGCCCACAAAACAAGTATCTCAGTTGGCAGCATGAAAGACACAACAGCACCTCAGCTCTCTTGTGGCTGCCTGTACACTGGGTGTACTTCAAAGCCCTAGATCTATCCTTGACAGAGTAACAGATAAAGGAGTTGGAAAGGGCAAAGGGCTACTTAGTAATATAAATGCAAACAGAGACTCACCTTGCATTTCTCAAGGATAAAAGCTGCTAACGTGACAAGCCTCAATTTGCTGGGGACCACCATGACATACTGCTTGAGCTTCTCTGGAACAGCAAAGTTTTCCTGCTCCATGCAGTTTGATGAACTACTGGATTGTCCATCCATTTGTGATGCTGGTCTGATCTGGGTTTCATCTGCTATGGAAATGCTGATGGGATCATTCAAACTGATATCAGCCAGTCGTGTTACTCCTAAATCATAGAAGATGAAAAACACAAGAGGGCCAGTCTGGGGTGATGCTGGGAAGGGTGATGAAATAGTCACATAAAAACCCCAACTAACACAATTCCAAGTGAAAAGCAGCAAAGACCAAGGAGCTAATGAGCCTCAGACACTGACAGAATACCCCTGCAAACTTCAGACTTTCCAGGGCTTAGCTGCTGTGGACTTCACAAAACGCACTGCAAGCTGCTACTTCAGCCAACTGGGCTATTTTACATTATGGAAATGTCTTGACCAGATAGAGAGACTTTGGCAGTCCTGTTTTCTAACAGCGTGTGTGGAAGAAAACCCAACACACTATCAGAAGTACAGGAGCAAGGAGGCCTGGCTCATTTACTGCCTCAGCAATTGACTTCTTGTGACACTGAGCAAATTACACTTGGCTGTCCTGTCATCAGCTTTTTGCCTTAATTCTATCTTTGTAAAGCAAATAAACAAACCAGTGCTTCCCAGGTTCATGTTGAATTTGATCTGGAAATTCAGAAACAGTATGAGGACCATGTAAGTATATATACACTGACAAAAATTCCACTAACAAAGGACAAGTGTCATAAGCCCAAAGAAATCAGTAGGCATTATTCCAGTTCTGCGAAGTGCATCAGACTGGGCTGTAATATAATCAGACTCAACCAACTGTTTTGTAGTCTCCTGTGCATCACTGAGCTAAAAGAGACACCATCTACCTATATCCTACCTTCCGTGAGGGTGGCTGAGAGCAGGACATTCTGACGGGTCTCCCTCTCGGCATTTAAAGCATTGAGTATCACAGTTACATCCTTCTCAAAGCCCAGGTCCAGAATCCTACAAACCAGCAGAGGTGACGAAAGATGTTGTTGAAAGGAATGACTGGAAAGTCTTCACACTACATGAGCCAATTAGGAAGGGAAGTACTAGAACTGATCAGATCCTTGGCCCATCTAGTTTCGTGTTCCATCTTCAACTTTTGCCAGGGTCAGAAGACACTGAATCTCTGCAATGAATAACTGTACAATAATCTGTCCAAAGGGGACATTTCTTCATAATCCCAGCCATCTGGTGCTTGGCTGAGGCCACTGAGCATGAACGGTTTAAGATCTCTCACTATTATTTTTTGTTTATATTTCGTATATTATGATGCAGAGAGTATCAGTTATTTTCCACATCTAAACCCTTGGAAGTTTACCTGTCTGCTTCATCAATAATCAGCCACTGAGTGCGACGGAAATGAATACATTCTGTGGACTTGATGTGATCAACCAGGCGACCAGGAGTTGAAATGAGGATATTTATTCCTTTCCGTAATCTGTTTAGATTTAAAACAAAATAAAAACCACACACACACAGAACAACCCCAAACAAAACAGAAAACACCCCAAAAAATAAAAAGAAACAAGAAAAAGGAAAGGAAAAGAAAACATACAGGTTAGCAGTAATTCTGGAATAGGAACCTAGAGTGAGGAACTGGAACCTACAGAGGAAAGCGTTATGGCCGTAGCATCAAATTAGCAGGGATGGTACCTTCTCACTGATTAAAACTGAAATTTATTGCACAGCTAAATCCTATCCTTGTTCATCACCAATACTCAGAGGCATACTGAGGACAGGGTAGAAAGGAATACTAATACTGCTAAAAAATCCAAACCACCCAAGCTAGGTTTTCTTTTCTAATTGAGTACTGCTCTTACTGTCAAGGGTAAACTTCTTTTACTGTCAAGAGTAAACTTCTTTTTGTGTACGGTTATACACAGCAAAATTAAAATTCCATTTTGGATTACCAGCTTACACTTCAATTCTTTAAAAGGGAAAAAAGAAAGATTTTTAACACCAGGAAATCTCTTTTCCAGAAAGCAATTTCCCCCATAACAAATACCGTAGACAGCACTCAGTGGTAAGCAAATGCAGGTGTTTGTCAGAAGAGGAAAAAAAACACTGACACGAGAGATCATCTTCTCAGAAAGGCTCATCAACATTTTAGAAATAGATCTAACTGTGGGAAGTGAATACTTCCTGCTGACCCAGTCACTGTGTCTGTGTAAGATCCAGGGGGATCACAGCTTGATCCAAACTCACAATCCTCTCTCCCACTAAGAAAAACACTCCAAAGAAGAGCATCAGATAAAACACTGTAGAGCAGAAGAACTCAAAAAACAATTTAAGAACTTGGCTTCCTACCTGGCTTTTTCCGATTTTCTCTTTTCTCCCCCCATTAGCACTCCAGGCACAATCCAGGCAAATGGCTACAAAAAACAAAACCCAAGACCAATATAGATTCTTCTTAGTAAAGGGACAGAGCCTAATCCAAAAAATGATGTTTCTCAGCAAAAAGAGAAAGGACTGGGGCTGACTGCAGCGTGAGCCTCATTTGATCTAACACAGCCCACATGCTCTCTCTCACCCACAGCTACATATCAATGGCACCTTTAGTTCTAGCCATGTAACTTGCTTCCCATGTCTTCTAGGAAGATAGAAATGCAATCATTTTTGGACCACTTCCAATCACATAATAAATTTCTTTTCCTTCTCCCCATGTTGTCTAAATGTTCAAAGACAAGCTACATGGCTATTTCTTCATCTTGCCTTTAAGCAGGATCTTCCTGTGACCAAGGAAAATCTCAGGAAAACACAGGACCCATGAAGTTTACATACACACACACACACCTACCCACACACAGTCACCATGTCTGTGGACATTAAATATCAGTCTCATTGATATTGGCAGGAGTTTTTGCCACTTACTTTAATGAGGTCCAATCCTCCATTGAATCCAATATTGCCCAATATTTACTGGGGAGATAATCAAAGCACAGTACTGCCACTGCCTCACTTGAAAAGAAGTGCAGGACAGAAGCAGAGTACAGCTTGTAAAGATCACACAAATGTGTGACTGGTAAATAGGCTTAAGTTTGCATGGGTCACTGCCTGCCAGAAATGCTCCAACAAAATAGTTACTACAAAAAGAGTTTCTTAAGGCTTAAAATAAGGAAGATGTCTAAGCAAGATCCAAGCAGTTGGCATTAAACTAATTGTGCCAGGAGCAGCCCAACCAATCTTTTTCTCTCTCAGTAATTACACGATCATACTAAACCCTCCAGTCATCCAGCCCTTCCAAGGTCCAGTCAGACCACAGTCTAAATCTTCTGCTTTGGGTCACTACAGCAGTTTACACTGGACTCAGTGGTCACTACACGTTATATGTAACAAAGAAAAATCAAAGGGGGTCAGCCCAGACTCCGTGCTTTGAAAGACATCATAACAACTTCTAATTACTATGGAAGAAGACTGAAATACTTTAAACTTTAGCATGACACAACAAAATCATATACTTGGTAATTCCAGCACTAAAAAACCACTTGGAAACTGCCTTATTATTTCAAGGAAATAATAGAAGAGAGACTGGGAATATGGATCAGATAAACGATCTGGATACCTTCTAACCTCATGGTAAGATACTCTGCCTCAATTAAAAAGAAAGCACAATCATTTAATAGCCTTCTAATTTCTCTAGCCATTCAACTGGCAAAGCTGTTCAGGTCTCCCCATCTGAAACCCATCTGTCTAGTATTAGTTTCAGTAAAATGGTGCATGTCATTGTGAGAGTTTCCATTCATAACTCAGACTGAAACAATGATGGGTACTTCTAAAAACAAAACACTGTGAAAATCAACTACACTTGTTTATGAGCACATGTGCAACAAAGGTGCTATAATTAAGCACTTAATTCTTCATGTAACAGTTTAAAACACGCCACAGGGAAATCACGCACTAACAAACAGATTTAACTTTAAGGACCTCATATCTTGCCAGATGCTGAATTTCCTTATCCATTCAGTTTGAATTCACAGGAACTGAAGTTGCTTTGCCACTCCCAATAAGAGGCTCAAGAACAAGAAGAAAACAGAGCACTGAGCTCTTACCTTAAGTAGCTTCTGCATTGTGTCAAAACTCTGGAGTGCAAGCTATGGAAATCAAGAAAAGAAAGTGAGCTCTGAAAAAGTTTCTGGACTACAAACCCTTTTGGCTCAGAAATCTGTAAACTCTACGTATATCACCAGAACACTAAAGATGCCCTTAATTTTTCCTTTAGAAGCTCCTTATTATTTTATTGTCTTGCACAATCCTTCTCTTATCATATTTGGACTTGTTCAAAAACCTTGCTGTTGGTTCAGCTCCACAAGCCAGCTCTCAGGACAACAGGGACTTCCGCTGGCTCTGTGAATGCCCCAGGGAGAAAATAAGCTGAAGCCACACAAGACTTTGCCCCACAGGAAGAGTAAAAGCGAAAACAGCACAATTTCTGGAAGAAAACCATCATGAAAAGGAAATGCACCTGACCCACAGAGTGATCACCTCTGTTTCTTCCTACCTCTCAGTTTCCCAGTCAGCAGAACAGACATGCTGTACAAAAAGGTTGCACACCTAGTGTCCGGTCACTAGGAAGCATTTAGCCTGGGTTTCATGTGCTGTCTGACAGCCATTTCTGCTGTGGCAGTGGAGATTGAGAAAAGCAATAATGCCTCCCTGCCTCATTCACAGACTGAGTATGTGATCAGGGCTTAGTTATGGAAGCAAAACTATTTTAAATATGTAAACTCTTTTAAATATATAAAACTTTTTTAAATAAATAAATGCTCTGACTACACATGCTACATATTATATTGGCCAAGCTCTCAAGAAAGGCCATTGCTTTCAATAAAAAACTAAAGTAATACCAACTGTAATTACAAATTATCTTCATAAGTACTCTCCAGCATCCCTTTAAACAAGCTCAGGAACAGTTTCCCCACGCTTAGTATTCACACAGCATCCTAGAGAGGCAGTAAGTTTGCTGCTGTAAAAATTTAAATAGCTTCAGAGCTTTCTCCTTTCACAGAACTGAGCTGAGATATTGCACTGCAGGCTGCATAAAATATTGTGCCCCAAACCAGATACCTGCAATCAATCCTCCACATGGAAGTTATTATCATTTGACATACAAAAAAAAATAAATAAAAGGTTGATACCCTCCACTGGAATTGCCTTTGTGATTGCAAATAATATAAATCAAACAGAAGAGTTCAGTGGAGAAACCAACTCTGGGAAGCCTCATCTTCAGCATTCACTTACGGATTTGAAAAGGGCTTTAAAAATGAAACCTTTGTATAAACCTACACATTCACAAAGCTGACTTAATTGGTTTTGCTTGCTCCCCTTGCGTAAGCCAGGCAAGCTTCTCCCTGCCTTGCAGTGAACTAGAATGCTTCTCCAGGACTCAGTATTATTTCTGGCTGCGTAAGGAAAACTCAGAGATTCCTTCATTTCTTTGGCATGGCACTGAACAAAAATGACAATATGCATCCAGAGAGCAAGTGCTCTTTCTGTGAGGGCAAGGCCTGTGCAAAAGAACAGACAACGTTTCCTAAGACAGCCGCTGGTGGGCCTACATCTACACACTAAATATCAGTGTTCAAACACTCTGATACAGACAAAATCAGAAAGAAGAAACGCCACATACCTCTCTTGTTGGGACTATTATGAGTGCGTAAGGCCCATCACTGCGCTGCAAACAGAGAATACAACGTCCGCTAAGAACATAGCACTGAAAAACAGAGTGCTTCTACACTGAACTGCTATTAGCCAACAAAGTGACTTCTGAAGGGGTTTAGTACAAGTTTGTATACAGCAGCTGGGGGTACTCCCCCCTCCCACCTTTTAAAGAAATCAGCAGTCTTTCAAATATTGATACTGCACTGCCTTCTCTTCCCTGCTCTGTCATACCCAACATTTTATTCCATACACATATTGTTTCACTCTTGTATTTCTGAGTTGCATGCTCTCATGTTTGATGCACAGCAACAATCTGTAGGTAGAAGTTGTAGAAAGCAACAATCCAGGATGGGTTGGAAACTTTTCATCCCGTAAGGAAAGTCAGGATCTCTTTCCATAAAATGCACAGGAGATGGCAGATCTGCAGCAGCCTTTTCTGGTCAACCAGATGATCCAAATTGGGAGCAATTATTCTGTTTCACCTACCTGTATTTTGGACTCCATTCCTTGAAGAGACTGTACAAGTGGAATTCCGTAGGCAAGAGTTTTACCTTTTTAAAAGGGAAATTTTGGAGGATTTTTCATCAATAAAACTTGTGTAAACTACAGCAAATTAAAGTACCATTCACCCTACTATTCTTAAGCTGAGGTCAGAGTCTAGAAGCGTTTTAATTAAGTATAGAGTTCCCAGAAGATTAACAGACAGCTCACCAAAGGGTCAAATTAAAAAACAGAGAGGTGGTGGTACCCCACTAAGATCTACCTAAATAAAAACCCCCACTCACCCAAGCAAATGAGACACCCAGACATAGCTTGCTGCAGAGCAAGCACCTAAGCTTGCATAGTGAGAGTGTGCACTGTTTAGCTCTGCTGTTTCCTGGCTCTGTGTCTCCGGCATGAGCCTTGGAACAGGCCCCTGTACAACGGATGGCAGCTGCACAGCAACAGCCAGTCCCAGCACTGTGCTGATACAGAAGTTTGCACAGCATCTGTCTGTGTCACAGCAGTCCCACACCAGGCTGCCCAGCCTGTCACTTATATGAACTGTACAGGGAACATGAGGTTTTGGTTCTGTATTTGAGATCCAGTTTAATATGCCTTATGGGAGGAGAGTGACAATTAAATACTGACCTGAACCAGTCTGAGATCTCACTAGAGCATCTTTGCCTTGCAGGAGAACAGGAATTGTTTGCTTCTGAACACTGCATCAAACAAAACAGGTTAAGAAATATGAATGCAACACAGGTCTGTTTCAAGACTGTTTACCCCAAATTCCATGCATTCATCTCTGCTGTGTAGCTACATCAGTAGAGGTAATTTCTAAGGAAAGCCACTAGGTAGGCATCAGGTATGTTAAACTGAAAAAAGATTATTTTATGATTTGAGTGCCAAATTCCAAGGCAGGACTCAAAGGTTCCACCTTCAGCTGTGACAACTCACTTGCTGTGTAACTTACAAAGCTATTTCTCCTCCCAGATTCAGAAAGCAACAAACCCTATGGTAAGCATCACAGCATAACAGATACTTCACAAACCAGTGACATTTAACAAAACAATCACAAATGACTGGCTTTATGGTGCAGTGAAGTGCAAAGTTTTTATATGAATTTGCTTACCTGGTCATGCTACTTATCTTTAGGACGGTGTTTATTGTGGAGATCTAGAGAGATAATAAAGAGCAGTAAACAGGTTTCATTGCCATTCCTTTTGTTACTTTCTGTAGTACAAGACAGATCAGAAGACTGATGCTGATTCTTTACATTACTGGTCCGAGGGCAACTGGATGTAAAAGGCCCCATGATCTCCAAATACTGCTTAGTTAATCAGAATTACACCACTGGTGGTACATCATGAAATATCAGACTTGTCAAAATACTGCACTCCCAGATAGTTTTCTGTGGGTTTCTTTGGTATTATAACTGCATAAAGTGAAGGGTGGGAGAGTGTCTTTGGGGATGGGTCAGGACACTGGGGAGCATACTGACCTATTGGCCTTGGGTGATATGGTTTAGTGTGAGGTGTCCCTGCCCATGGCAGGGGGTTGGAACTTCATGATCTTAAGGTCCTTTCCAACCCTCACTATTCTATGATTCTAAGGGAACACAACGAAATCAGGCAAAGTACTGGCAAGCCTGTCCAAATCACCATGAATAAAGGTGCATCTCCCAGCTCCCTAACCTGCTCCCCACCCAAAAAAGCATGTTTCAAGACACACAGCCTTGCTGTCACTCACCAGATGTGGATGGAGGTCCAACTGGCTGAAAGAATCTGTAGTGAAAACATTTTCTTGTACCTGCTGCACTGCTTTTCTGCGTTAGGGGACACAAACAAAAACAAACAAAGCACATAATGTGGTTAAAAACTATACAACAGTAGTCTGTGTAGTAGTTTGCCCAAGTAAGGGCAAGAATTCAAGACACTGAAAAGGGTTTTTCCTACTATTTATAAATATACCTAAAATACCTGTGAATTTTTGGGATATCAGGGTTGTTTCTAAACAGGCTGGATGTCTTAATGAAAGGTTTGCTTTTCTGACTTTCATTTCGGTTGTCAGTCAACTGCTTCTTAGGAGTAGATTTCTGTGATGAACTTCCCTTCTGCCTGATGTCAGCCTCTATAGCAGGTTTCTTGAAGGTGTTTACTGATGGCTTACATTTACGTTTCAAAGGTGGGTTTCCATTTGGTGACTGAAGCTTTCTTTTTAGAGCGCCAGACTGCTTTAATGTTAACAAACCAGAGAGAAAGAATGCATTAATGACTGAGAATTAACAATGTGGTATCAAGATGAACACAAATATTAGCCCACAGATAGATCCCCTGCCCCATAACTGAAGAAAGTAAGCTTGATTTTTGCAGCTAGACAGTTCCTACTCTACCAGGTTCACCAGCACACCTGAGGCTTCTGAACATCACTGAAATGCAAAGACAAATCTTAAGTCATACACAGTGCTCATCTCTATAGAGGATTTTATCTAGCTTCAAAACACACTTGAAAAATCTCTCTCAAAAGCTCTGCAAATCTCCTGATTACATTAAAGCCATCCCTGCAGGCTTCCTTAACTCTGTGGCCAGGAAGGATGGCCTGTGCTTCACTCCAACTTATGCTTCTGCCAACTCCCAGCACTTCTGAGCACTTGATTTCTTCTTCTGCAGCAATGAGTTTATTTTACTGATCTTCCAGTCATATCAAAACCAACTTTTGCTCTCCCTATATCCCTCCAGGAACAATAAAGAAAATTAAATTTAACTTCCTTTGGTCCCCAGTGCTCTTCAGTGTCCCCAAGCCCTTCTTCTATGAACTCTTTTTTCCCTCCCTGACACTACTGCAGAGTTCCTGAAATGACTGAAATATCAGCACAATCCTGCCCCACTTTTTTCTCTTGTCTCCGCTCCTAGTTGCACACTCTGATTTTCTCTTATAACCTATACTGTTTCACTTGTTTCTTCACATTTCTGTCAACCAAACCAACCCCAACCTGCTTCCTCCAACATTCACCATCACAGAAGTGACGGTGGTGGTGCCCTACCTCCAAGTGCCTAATATAACCAGGGTAAATCCTGGCACTTCACTCTTGCATACCTTTGTACAGTGTTTTAAGAACGATTTAAAAATTCAGAGTAACAACCAAAACAACCCAGAATCACTACAACCATAACTTTAAAATGGAAATATCTACGTTAACACATTCTTGTTCCATCTTTCTTCAAACTGATTAAAGCACTTATTCCTGCCCTTCACAGCATTCCCACAATTAGGAGTGCACTCTAAAACACGACTTCCCCTCCCTAGAAGCATTTAAAAGCAACTCTAAATAAAGCAGAAGCCTGTAAGAGCGTTACCCACAGCTTCAGCAGCCACCAGACGAGTCCGAAGCCGCTGGCAAGGCAACAGAAGGGCAGAGCGGCCCCGCTGAAGGGATCAGAGAAGCTCATACCTCGTGTTTCCCACCACCACTACCCAAGGCCGGCCCGTCTCCGTGCCCAGCACACCGGCCCCTCTGCAGACACCAACCCCGTCCCTAAGGGGAAAGCCAAAACCTCAATTTAAGAACTTTTTAGGCTCTTTCCCCCTGCCCCACTGACCGCGGCTCCCCGGGCCAGTCCCAGCCGGTGCCCCCAGCTCCACTCCTGACGAGAGCCACGGCCTCAGCCGGCAGCAGCCTCCCCAGACCCGGTAAAGGGATGGCCGTCGCTTGTCCCGGGCCGGGTCCCCGACCTGCCCTGGCAGCACCTACCCGGCTGCGACCCCGCGGCGCCGGGCTGAGGTTGAGCAGCAGCGTCCCGCCCGCCGCCATGGCCCACCGCCTCCCGCAGGGCCCCGGGACCGTCCCTGGGGCCGGGCCGTGCCTACGGGGGTGGAGGAAAGGCGGGTGGAGGGTCCCCAGCGGGGACGGGCACTGGCCCAGGGCGCCCGGGCCTCAGCCGCCCGCCTGCAGGGGCTCAGCGGGCACGGTCCGTCCCTGGGGCCGGCGGGGCAGTGCAGGCGGCGGCGGGGCAGCCCCAGCCGGGCCGGCCGGGGGCTTCGGCAGCGGCGGTGGCGCATGCGCTCGGCAGTCGGAGCGGCGGCGGTAAGATGGCGGCGGCGGAGCGTAGGGGCAGCCGCTCGCTGTCGGCCGGGGAGGAGGAGGAGCCGCCGCTGGGGCTCGACTCGCTGGTCGAGGAGGCGGTGGCGGCAGCTCCGAGCGCCGGGTTCCGGCTGACGGCGGTGCGGCGGGAGCCCGCGGTGCGGCTGCAGCATGGCGTCAGTGGGCTGGAGCCGCTGGCCTGGTCGGAGGACCACCGTGTATCGGTGAGCACGGCCCGCAGCATCGCCGTGCTGGAGCAGCTCAGCGACGTCCACAGCGGCGGGCAGGAGATGGTCATCCACCGCACGGCCGTGCCCGCGCCCTCCGCCGCCTGTCTGCTCAAGGTGAGCCGCCGTCCGCCTCCCGGGGATGCTCCTGCCCCGCGCACAACTCGCAGCGGTACACGCAGCATCTCATGTGCGATTTAAAAGCATAGGGGAATAAAACCGCTACATATAAGCTAGTAACGTAAAGGGGAAATAGAGCCGGTACCAAGTGGATTTCAGGGATTCTTTTCTAAGCATCACTTGAGCTCCAGCACTTTGAAATCTTCCTCGGTTTGCTAAGCAGAGCTTCAAGGGGGACTTCTGACACTTCGTAGCACAGAGAGGTGGCAACTCTGGGTGCATTATCTTATTACAGAATAAGTCTGTTGTCTTGGACCTTTAAATACACACTTAAGAAGTAGAAAACAGGCTCTTTGATTCAGCAGACAAAGATTCAATAGTCGGGAGTCAAAGCTGTACAAATTCAGGCCAAAAATGAAGCTTAAGTCTTTAAAACTGCCATTAATTAACCGTTGGAACAGTGTAGTGTACGTTGTGACAGAGGATGCTCTGTTTCAAGTGGGTATTAATTCCAGGGAAGTCTTCCTTCTGCAACTGTTCTTAGATAATCTTTTTGTTATCTTTTAGGTTGGTCCAAAGAAGGAGGTAGCTGAATGCAAGGAAAAGTTTGCAAATTCCATGGATCCAACGGTTAGTCAAACTTTTATGCTGGATCGAGTATTCAATCCCGAGGGGAAGTCTTTGCCACCCATGAGAGGATTCAAGTATTCCAGCTGGTCGCCGCTGGGCTGTGATGCCAACGGGAGGTGCCTGCTTGCAGCTTTAACCATGGACAATCGATTGACCATCCACGCAAACCTCAACAGGCTGCAGTGGGTGCAGCTGGTGGACCTGACGGAAATCTATGGGGAGCGTTTGTATGAAGCCACTTACAAACTTTCCAAGGCTGACACTCCCAGGGGGGAGTTAGGAGACTTCCCTGAATTTCAGCGGCGGCACAGCATGCAGACTCCAGTGCGCATGGAGTGGTCGGGCATCTGCACCACTCAGCAGGTCAAGCACAACAATGAATGCCGGGATGTTGGCAGTGTGCTCTTAGCAGTACTCTTTGAAAATGGTAACATTGCAGTTTGGCAATTTCAGCTTCCATTTCTGGGTAAGGAATCAATTACTTCTTGCAATACGATAGAGTCTGGAATATGTTCCCCAAGTGTGTTGTCCTGGTGGGAATATGAACATAACAACCGAAAGATGAGCGGACTTATTGTAGGGAGTGCTTTTGGACCGGTTAAGATCCTTCCTGTCAATTTAAAAGCAGTGAAAGGCTACTTTACACTGAGACAACCCGTAGTCTTATGGCAAGAAATGGACCAGTTACCAGTGCATAGTATCAAATGTATTCCTCTCTACCACCCATACCAGAAATGTAGTTGTAGCTTAGTGGTGGCCGCAAGAGGAGCTTATGTGTTTTGGTGTCTCCTGTTGATATCCAAAGCGGGTTTGAATGTCCATAATTCCCATGTGACAGGGCTTCATTCTTTGCCAATTGTATCCATGACTGCAGACAAACAGAATGGCACGGTGTATACGTGCTCCAGTGATGGAAAGGTAAGGCAGCTCATTCCTATATTCACAGATGTTGCTTTAAAGTTTGAGCACCAGCTGATTAAGCTCTCGGAAGTGTTTGGCTCTGTCAGGACTCATGGAATAGCTGTTAGCCCATGTGGGGCATACTTGGCAGTTATTACAACAGAGGGCATGACTAACGGTCTGCACCCAGTTAACAAAAACTACCGAGTCCAGTTTGTCACCCTTAAGACTTTTGAGGAGGCAGCTGCGCAGCTCTTGGAATCTTCTGTTCAGAACCTTTTCCGGCAAGTGGACTTGACAGACCTTGTACGCTGGAAAATCTTGAAGGATAAGCATATTCCTCAATTCTTACAGGAAGCACTGGATAAAAAGATTGAGAGCTGTGGTTCCACCTACTTCTGGCGGCTTAAGCTATTTCTCCTAAGGATTTTGCACCAGTCAATGCAGAAAGCTCCTTCAGAGGTCATGTGGAGACCTTCACATGAGGACACAAAAATCTTGATATCTGATTCCCCTGGGATGGGCAGCACTGAAGATGATCAGGAGGAAGGAACTTCCAAACAAGCCAGCAGGCAGAGCCTATGTGACACTGGCAAAGGTATGGACATAGATGACACTGCAGATGATTCTCTTCCTCAGTCAAGTGACATAGGAGGCCGTGAGCCAATGGAAGAAAAGCTTCTTGAAATACAGGCACAGATTGAGGCAGTAGAAATGCACTTGACACGAGAACACATGAAACGGGTGTTGGGAGAAGTGTATCTACACACATGGATTACAGAAAACACCAGTATTCCCACCAGAGGAGTCTGTGACTTTTTAATGTCCGATGCTGGCTATGATGACAGAACAGCACGAGTAAGTGCACCTCTATGCTCTGGGGGTTTGGTGTTAAAAGTTACTTCTTTCTCCCCCATCCGTATCCTTAATTTAAGTTACAACTTTGAGGTGGGAAAGAGAACTGTAAGCACGTCATCCTTGCCAGTCAGCTTAAGTTGTCATTCCTTGAAATTGTGGCATATGAGGGAATGTAAATACAGATCGTGGAATTTGGATCAGGTACAGAAAGAATAAGCATGCCTGAGTTCCTTCAGAGTGAAGAGGGCTATGGTTATTATGCCCCTGTTGGTGGGTTACAAACAAGTACTAATTGAGAAGGGTATTGTTTTCATGGCTAAACTTATTTAATCACTCATCTCTCAAAATTAAACTTGGGAGTTATTTCCTCCTGCCAGTTACATCTGCAGTTCTAATTTTAAGAGTTGCAGTAATGCTTTATAATTGAAAATACTGTGATTGTTCAGGTGGTACATCAGGTCTTGTCATTGCTCCATGAGCCTTCAGTGGAAAGATCAGTTAAAGGGGTTCAGAAAGTGATTGCGTTCTGTGAGTTGAACCCAGTGATTCAGAATTTTGTACAGGACTTCCAGTTAACCAGTCTGACTGAAGGTCTTTGTTACAGCAGACAGGCCTGAACCTTCAGGCATGCTTGCATTTATTGAACTACAATGAGCATAACTGAATGCTTGGACATGATAGGAAGTCCTCCCAAACTTGCAATACTCCCTGCCAAAATAGAAGCATAACTGCAGGGACAGTATCCTGACTATTGCAGTGTGTAGAGTAAACATTTGTGGCAGGAAATTAGTGATGAATTGCACTGGGCAATGAAGTTTTCTGAATATAGGCATCAGACAAAGGAAGCTTCAGTGGGAACACTCTGCCATCAGCCTCCTGGCTCTTAAGACTCGATGACAGGAATGTCTCAGATATCTCTGTACCTCTTTTGATGAGCAGAGAACATTTCTTTTCAGTACCTAAGTCCTCAGAGAACATTTCTTTTCAGTACCTAAGTCCTTAAATCACTTTAAGTCTAAAAATCAACCCTTACATTGCGTCCAGAAAGACAGAGGAAGGGAGCACATTCCCACTACTGATGTTGCGTGGTGGTCTTTCTGCTGGACTTAAAAGCAAGCAGGCCACGGTGTGGCTCTCAGTAATTCACTAGGAAAGTATACTGGCAGAACTGTGCTTTTCTAGCATCCAGTTACTGTGAACTGAAGGTTTGAGAGGTTGCTTTTCTTATCACATAAACAAGATTTTTCTTTTTTATAGTAATTAAAAGGCTGACTTACAAATTCTGTTTTAGCTATTCAGTTTGCTGTCACATTTTAAAGGTCCTCGGAACGCTGTTTATAGCTATTGAAATGTCAGAGACAAATTCCATCACATACATGTACTGCTATAAATTATGTATACTCTAAGATGACTACTGACGACATACATCCAGGTAATTTCTGAACAGGATCTTTTTAGCACATCCATTGTGATAATCATGAGAAAAAGCATTGCTGTAATGATCAGTGGCATCCCCTAAAGTGGTGCCAGTACTTTTAAAATTTGCAAGCAGGTTAACATAACACTACTGCACTTAAATTCTGTATTCCTTTACTGTGGGACAGAAATCTTTAGGAGATAACAGTAAAATGAGAATAAATTGATACTTACCAATGCATTCTATTTCTAGTGCTTTTGTTTCCTTGAATACAGTGAAGTACATAGATCTTTGCATCCTGTACCATAGTCTAAAATGACAGCATCCTGAGAGACATTTCCACCTTTCAGTAGGCAGCTTTGCTCTATACAGTGCTGACTGCTCTGTATTCCAGGTGCTGATCGGGCATATCTTAAAGAAAATGAACAAACAGACTTTTCCAGAGCACTGCAGCTTGTGTAAAGAGATCCTGCCATTCACCGATCGCAAACAGGCAGTCTGCTCCAATGGACATATTTGGCTCAGGTAATTGGTTCTTAAAGAGTTTTTGCCCTCCTCTGCATAATTTAAACATACTT